AGACAGGCACACAGACCATGTTGTAGAATTTTAAAACGATCCCTCTTGGTAAGCAGCCTGTGGTCGTGACCAAGGCATGATTGAGAGGGACCTGCTCTAGGGAGGTCGTCCACGGAATGGTAAGAAATAGACACAGAGGAATCGCCAGGACTTGGCCACACTGGATAGACAGATTTTATTTAGCGCTTACTCTTGGTTATTCAGTCAGCTGCCAATTGAAAAGCTGAAAATCCAGAGCCACCCAGGAGCTCTAAGAGAAAGGCCAGCCATCAGCTTCTGCAAAGATGACCTGCGGCCCGTCCGCTGCGGCACCGTGCTCTGCGACGTTAGTTACCATGGGGAGAAGTCGATCAGAAAAGACCTTCCAACAACAAGGGGCCTCATCTTACTCTTACTGTTGTTGCGCATACACCTCTCAACCATTCTAGGGAGCGTCCGGTGCTCTTGTCACCGAGATCATATCATTTATCAGAACCAGGACTGAAACCTTGAATCTGTGCGAACCCAAGCTTTATTGAAAAGGACACTGATTTTTCAGAGGCATAAGATTTGAAAACAGACTAATAATGCTAACATTTGGAGTAGGAGTCCAGATGCCCTTCAATGAGTGTTGAGAGGCTGGTTGAGCATAGACTGGAAATGCAAACGGCATAACCCTTTCTCCTCTCTCTTTCCTGTAGTGCGGCTTCATGACAGCATCTCAGAAGAGGGCTTCCATTACTTGGTGTTTGACTTGTAAGTACCCACGTCGTGCTCATTTATTTTTGCAATCGATTTTAAGGCATTTTTGAACTAAATGTAATTTTCCTCACTGAAACAATGAACATAATAATAGTTTTTTACCTGTATCAAGTTACATTTAGATCTAATTCTTTTTTTTAAGATGACTGCTTGTCAGTGTTTATTTAAATGTGAAATCAATCTTTATGAATTAATCAGATTATATGATTATTTTCTTTTTGATGATCCAGTGTCATAGGTAGTTATCAGTTTGACCTTAAGGTTAAAAAAAAGAAAGCTAACATAAATGGAATTTTCTGTTGGATATTTGTTTTGAAGTACATATAACTTATTATCTCTTCTAAGGAGGAACTAAAGAAAGGTGGTTCCAGGGTTTCTTAGCTTCTCTAAGCTCTCATGCTCAATTCCAGCTCATTCCTCTTGCCCTTAGACTCTCATGTTGTCATTAGATGCCCTCCAGTCGATTGTGCCCCATAGTGACAGTATGCACAACAGAAGGCTTTACTTGCCTAGTCCTGCATGGGCCATGCTCTCATTTGTTTCTATGCTTGAGGCCATTGTTGTCGATCCATCTCTTGAGAGCCTTCCTCATTTTCATTGCCCCTCTGCATGCTGGCCTTCACCAGGGTTGGCATGACTTCGCTTATGTATTTGGACATGTTATCAGGAGAGACCAGTCCCTGGAAAAGAAATCACATGGAGATATGGAAATGTCCAGTGAAAGACACAGTCTCTTCTTAACAATCAAATATATACCCAGTTACCACCCACTTATCCTCATCGATCAGGACTGTGTTGCATGCCCACACTTACCCAGTCACTAGGAAGAGGAATGGGAACAGGATTGATTTAGACAACTTGGTATTTGCAAACTCAAGGTCTACCATAAGGATGAAAGGAAAATACTGGTTCCAGCTGAGCCAATCCACAGTGCCTACTGTGTGGATTGCAAAGATAAAATGAGACAGTAAATAGAGAAAAATCAGCTTCAGGATCCAACAATAGGGAAACAGTTCTGTACTGACTAAGTTATTTATCACAGATTATAATAAAGATTACTTTTTGCACATACCATTTTTTCCCATTTAGCGCTTTGTAGTTAATGAAGGATGTATATAAAATGGCAACCCGAAAACAAAGTAGGACTTTCAAATACAGTGGCCCATGTCTGTAGCAATAATAGTTATTCATATCATTAATATCACTGAATCAAAATAAAGAGATTTCTGAGAGTAAACATCTATAAACGACCTGCTATTGTAAACCAGACGACCTGCCATTGAGGTGATGCCGATTCAAGGTGGCAGAGTACAGTAGAATAGTACACCCCTGTGGGTTTACCAAGGCTGTCAATCTTGACAGGAGTACAGAGACTCAACTGGTAATTTTGAACTGCTGACCTTGCAGTTAGCAGCCCACTATGCCAACAGGCCTCCTTCAGTTAAAAATATATTTCTTGTTTCAAGCAATTGAACCTCTGCCTTTAGAAGAGTTCAGACTCTTTGCAATATTCAAAATTTAAGAGAAATATTGCCAACAGTTCTCTTCTAATAAGTGAGATTAATAAAATAGTTAAGCACAATTTTAAAAAGCACAGTTAGCTTTAGAGACAAGCAGAAAACAATAATTAAAAGTATAGGTGACTGAAAGAGAGGTCATAATAAATGTAGATGGATAATTTCTCCAAATTACTGTAGTGGTAGTCTACAAAGAGGAAAGTGAGTAGTTTTAGAACACTGTGCATCTCAAACCGAGATTTTAGAAGCATGATCTAAAGGTGCCAGTGAAATATTCATATGGGAAAATTGTAGGAGACTTCGCCAATCAATTGCAATATGAAATAACTACTTGAATCCCTCCAGAGGGAATGTTCCGTGTGTTCATCCTTTTGATGGTGGTTTTGGCAGTGTGGTACTTGTGCATACTTTCTGTGCAGTGTCAGCTATTCAGAACCTAATGGGAAGTTCTATTTTCATAGGTGCATTGAATAATCTTCTAATGGATTACTTCATGTTTTCTTTAAAAAAAAATAAATAAAAGGCAGAAGAGGCCATGAGTTGTATATATTAAAAAGTATCTGACAGTTTTGCATTTATTTTTTAAATCCAAATATCTCTATAAACTTTTTAAGCAATGGGTATTAGTGGTTATTTTTACGAGGAAATTCAAGAGTCAGTGGAAAGGCCTACAAGAAAGAAAAACACTTTTACAACAAATAATGAATGGCACCCATTTTTTGGTATCATCCTTCATTGATTTTGTACCTAGCAGGGTTTTTAGGTATGACCCAGCATCTCTGGGAGGCAAGAGAGGGGCTACATTTGCAGAGATGCTGGTTTATCTGAAATCCACAGGAGTATAGGGAAGTGAAGATACGGAGGAAGAATGAAAATCACTAATGAGATATCTATAGGCAGAGACCTGATAAAGTAGATGAGCTTAAGCTAATGAGAAATGATTTTTAAATAAGCCGTGTGAATATAAATGTTTCAGGAATGTGTGAATCAGAAGAGAGCTACTTCATGTACATATTGGGTTAATATATATAAAAAAGTGCAGAATTTCACAACTCTCCCTAAGCCTAACATACAAAACACTTGGGTTGAATTTTTGATATCATTAGGGAGCGATTGTAAAGAGTGTTGGTGAGAATGAAGTGAAAAAAACAA